TGAGGAGTATGGCGTGGCTGGAGCAGTGTTGGGGGTGGGGGAGTAGAAGGGGGGGGTCAAAGCATTCATAGGGCCAGAGGTTTTGAGCCTTAAAGGCTATGTAAGGAGTTTGGACTTTATTCTGAGATGGGAAGGGTTTTTTTTAATGATTTATTTAATTTTAATTTTTTATTATTATTTAATTTGCTATAGGGCATATGCACTCACCAGAGAGAGAGAGAGAGAAAGTGAGAAAGCAAGCTGCCAGGTATGGTGCTTGAACTGCAGTTGGCCATGTGGGAGTCCAGTGCCTTAACCACCACCCCTCCTACTGGCTCCGAGATGGGAGAGGTTTGAGCAGAGAAGGGACATGAACTGACGCCTTTTTAATAGAATCCCTCTGGCTGCCGTGCAGAGAACAGACTGTAGGGGGCTGAGGATGGGAGAAGAGAACCAGATCTCTTCTGCTGTAAGAGGTGAGAAACGAGATTGTACCATCATGAGGCCCTGAGAGTGGGTGGGGAAATGCTCAGGAGCTGAGAACGGCTCTGGGGTTTGGAGTTAGGAGTTGGCGTGTAGTGTTAACAGGCAAAACGAATGCCACCAGAAGTTACCCAGGTTTGGGGCTGCGAAGTGAAGTACTTAAGACCCTGGACTTCTGGGGACCAGCAGTTAGCGTAATGGCCATGTCGCTGGACTCCCACGTAGCCGACCGTGGTTTGATTCCCAGACCCGGTGGCTTAAACTCACACCAGGCGCGTGTGTGTGCATGCCCAAAATCCCGAGAGGAGAATGGAGGAGAAGGGATTGCGGCGTGGTCATCATCCCTGGGGGGTGACTTCTCGCTTTCTGTCTCTCTGCCTCTCTGGCGAGCGCACGTGCCCTATAGCAAAAACCTCTCCAAAAAAAAAATAAAATAAAAGACCCTGGACTTCCGGGTAGAAAACTGGGTCTGAATCCCAGCTCTGCTGCACACCAGAAGTTACACCTGCTCTCCAGGCCAGGCTTCTCGATGTGTTCAGCGGAGGCGATCGTCCCCACTGTCCCCAGTGCATGGGTTTGCGATAAGCACACAATGGGACAGTGTCTGGGAAGCCCTGAGCACGGTGCCTGGCACTTGGCGAGGCCTCGAGAAGGAGCTCTAGTGGCAACGTGAGTGCAGCTTGGAACTACATGAGATTCTGGAGCTTGCAGGGAAGCTGGCAGATTAGGCGGCATGAGCGTTGATGCTCAGGAGAGAGATCACCGCTCAAGAGGTAGATTTGCATATCTGGGTTGATAGACACAGACGACGTGGGTTGAAACCATGAGGTAGAATAAAATTGCCAGGGACAAGAGGGGAGAGAGAGAGAGAAGGGACTGGGCTGAGGCAAGAGCTCTGGGATGCACTAATCTTTAGGGGGTGGAGAAGAAAGAGGAGACAGAGTGGGTGGCATCAGGGAGGCAGCAGGAGAGACAGGGACAGAGTCTGGGAGAAGGGGCTGTCTGAGGTATAGGAAGAGAGGCCTAAGGAAGGTTCACCGGGGCTGGGGGGCCCTATGCAGCCGTGGCGTGGAGTGGTGCTCCTCAGCTTTCCTGTGCACAGGGGTCCCTGGGGACCTGGTGAAAATGCAGGTTCTGACTCAGGGGCTGAGGCTGTGCTGCTATTCTGCATTTCTATTTTCTTTTCTTTACTTTTTTTTTTTTTTTTTGGAGAGGTTTTCACGTGCGCTCGCCAGACAGAGAGAGACAGAGAAACAGAAAGCAAAAAATCACCCCCCAGGGGGAATGGCCACACTGCAATCCCTTCTCCTCCATTCTCCTCTCAGGATCTTGGGCATGCACACACCCCCCACATGGGTTCCAAGCCACTGGATCCGGGACTTGAACATGGGAGTCCAGCAACATAGCCATTACGCTAACTTCTGGTCCCTTATTTATTTATTTATTTTTTGAGAGAGATTTTTGCTATAGGGTGCATGTACTCACCAGAAAGACAGAACGAGAAATCACCCCTTAGAGGAGATGGCTGTGCTGCAATCCCTTCTCCATTCTCCTGTCGGGATTTTGGGCATGCATGCACACGTGCCCGGCATGAGTTTTTAAGCTGCTGGATCTGGGACTTGAACCCTGGTTAACTATATGGGAGTCCAGGAACGTAACCATTACGCCGTCTGCTGGTCCTGCCATTCTGCATTTCTAACAAGCTCCTGGGCGGTGCCTATGCTGTTGGCCCTAGGGTCGCTTCGCATAACCAGGACATGAGGGAAAGAAGATTGGATTCCTAGGGGCATGGAGGGCATGGATGCGGATGGAAGTAGGCTGGGCAGCGTACTGCTTCTGAGGGACCCTGCCCAGGAGCCTCTCCTCTCTGAGCCTCAGTTTCTCTACTGGGGAGGCTGGTTCAGCCCCACCCACCTGTTGGGACTACAGAGAAGCCTGTGAATGATTAACACTTTGTAAACTCCGGGGTGAACCTGTGGGGACTCTGTTGCATGAGAGTAGAGGGGGTGGCAGGCAGATGGCAGGGAGCCCCGGGTGTGGGAGGCATGTGGAAGCAGGAGGCGCACGCTGCGCTTTTGAGGCATGCGGCAGTTCCTCCCACCCAAGCCCAGCCATTTGCCTGTGGGAGGCGGGGGCTGCAGGGGTGGGTGACCTTGGCTGGGGGCCGTGGCTTGGGCTGGCTCAAGGGCGCTGCTTGGCTGGCTTTGAAGGTTCTACCCAGGCTCTTCTTGATTCCTTTTCAGTCTGAGAAACTCAGCTGAGATACTTTGATTATCTGGAGGCTCGGAAGCTGTGTAGACAAGTGGTTCTCAGCCCTAGCGCGTGTCAGAACCACCTGGAGAGCTTTTTCAGCAACAGATGCCTGGCCCCGCCCCAGACCTCCTGAATCGGAAACTCCGGCAGGTGGCTTCAAGGCAGCTGTGGCAGGAAGAGCTCCCAGCTGATGCTGGGGAACGGTGTAGACAGTACAGTGAGTGAGTCAGGCCAAAACAGATGTCTTCTTCCCCAGGGCTTTCTGAGGGCACTTCTAGGGTTTCTAGGTTACTGCCCAAGCTCAGTTTCAACCAAGCTCTTCTGGACCCTAGGGTTTTAGAAAAAGAAAAAAAACAAAAACAAAAACAACTCCCACGTACTCTATTTTACACTAGAGCAGGGGGACTTTCTGCTGTAATGGGGCTAACCAAAGGCACAGGCGGGAGCTGGAGAGACGCCCCACTGTTCCCGCCCCTTGTCCTTAACCTGGGGCAATCTAATCCAGAACCTAGAAAGTGAATTTCCGACAGCCTCGGAGATGGGACTTTCATGGATTTTTAATAGGCAAATTCTGTTACGCTTTCGCAATGTGACCCTTTTGTTTATTCTCGTCCCTGTTTAGCTAAGAATAAAATGAAAATTTGGGGGCTGGAGACCAGGGGAGCAATTCAGTGTGAATCAAGCAAATATTTAATGAGTACCTACTAAGAGGAAGGGGGGTAGGCGTTCCCTGCAGGGGTGAATGGCACCTGCTCCGGAGGAGCTCCCAGGTGAGCAGGGAAGGGATAGTCTTTTCCAGAACTCTCAAGGCTTTAGGTTGAGCAACGCGCCTGAGGGCCGGTCATTAGCAGGTGGTGGAGTAAGGGTTCGAACTCCTGCTGGCCCTGTGCCTGCCAGCTGACCTGTGTGAGGATCCTAAGGCCACTCCCTGGCCTGTTTTTATTCCCCAGCCTGTGCTGTGGGGGATGGGTTGGCCCATGGGAGCCCCATGAGGACCCCAGTCTTGTATCAGGAACCCTAGTCTGGTCTACATTGCTAGTAAAAAGACTTTAGGCAAAGCGGCTTAAACAAATTAAGGTTGACTCTTTTTTGAAAGAGGTTTTTGCCTTAGGGCGTGTGCACTGGCAGGAGAGACAGACAGTGAGAAATCATGGGGAGGGGGGGATGGTCATGTAGCAATCCCTTCTCCTCCATTCTTCTCCTGGGATCTTGGACACGTGCACACACATGCACCCGGCATGCTTTTCGAGCCACCAGATCTGGCACTTGAACTCCAGCCGGCCATGTGAAAGTCCAGCCACGTAACTGCTACGCCATCTGTTGGTCACAAAGGGCTGACTGAAGCCCTAGAGGTGGGCTCCCTTCACCTTGTTGCTTTGCTTTTTGGTGGTTCTCAAACCCAGCTGCACATTTCAATCCCTGGGGAACTTTTTTTTTTTTTTAAGTTTTTTGCCATAGATGTGTGTGCTTACTGGAGACAGTGGGAAAGTGATAAATCCTTTCCTGGGGGGGATGGCCCTGCCGTGGTCTCTTTTCCTGTATCCTCCTCTCAGAATTTTGGGCATACACGCACATGCACACACATGCGCCTGACATGATTTTCAAGCCACCGGGTCTAGGACTAAAACTCTGGTTGGCCATGTGGGAATTCAGTGTCTTAACCACCATGTCACTTGCCAGTCTGCCTGGGGAGCTTTCAAAACTGCTACTGGGTCAGTGGCGTGGTGGTTAAGGTGTCCGGATCCCACGTGGCTGACTGCAGGATTCAAGTCTGAGACCTGATGGCTTGAAAAACATGCCAGGCACATGTGCATCCATGCCCAAAACCCGGAGAGGAGAAAGGGGGAGAGGGATGGCAGTGTGGCCGTCCCCCGCAGGGGGTGCTTTCTCTCTCTCTCTGTCTCTATCTCCCCAGTGCAGTGAGCATACATACCCTATGGCAAACTAAAAACATAAAAATTAAAAATCCTGGGGAACCAGCAGTTAGCGTAATGGCTATGTTGCTGGCCTCCCACGTAGTCGACCGCGGTTCCCGTCCCGGACCCGGCGGCTTAAAACTCATGCCGGGCGCGTGTGCGTGCGTGCCCAAGATCCCGAGAGGAGAATGGAGGAGAAGGGATTGCGGCGTGACCATCCCCCCTGGGGGGTGATTTCTCGCTTTCTGTCTCTATGTCTCTCTGTCTGTCTGACGAGCACACCTTCCCTACAGTGAAAATCTCTCAAAAAAAAAAAAAATTAAAAATCCTGGTATCCAAATTGTACCAATTTAATCAGAAAGCTTGAGAGTAGGAAGCAGACATCAGTATTAAAAAACAAAACAAAGCAAGACAGGTGATTTCGTCATACAAGAATCGGGAATCCCGCTTTCGCGCGTTTTGTCTCAAGGTCAGCGAATGGCTGCTGAGGCTCAACCATTGTAACATGTTCCAGGTAGGAAGAAGGAGGGAACATGTGAAAGGGGAGGCCTAGCAGCCGACTCAGCTTCCCCCCTGTGATTTCTGTTCGTATCTCCTTGGCCATTCTTAGCTGCAAGTGAGGCTGAGAAATGCAGTCTTGTAGATGGACGCGTTCTGATTGAAGAGACGATCACAGCTCTGTCATAAAGAAGGGGAGAATGGGTACTGGGTGGGCGAGGAGCTGTTTCCACAAATCCCCATCTCGGGGTCAGCCGTTTCTTGACTGAGAGGGGACTTAAAGGGCTGTGAGCCTGCTCTCCTCCCACGCACTATCCCCTCGGGCCTAGCTCAGGGAGTCACGGGGAGCCCTGGCTGCCCGGAGGGTCCCCAGGAAGGACTTCAGAGAAGACCACCATCTGGAGTGGGGGAGTGACTCGTTTGGGGTTACCCAGACTTCCGTGTGGGAGTCCCACCCAGCTGCCCAGCTGCCAGCGCCCTTGTCCTCTCCCAGCCCCCCAGACACTGACGCATTTCCATGGCATTGTCAATTCCCACTGTGCTTGGTGCCTCTCCCCACCAGCAAGTGTTTCCTGACAGCAGGCAAGCTCTGTGGACCCAGAAACAGCCTCCTGATCTGGGGCACAGAAACTAAAGGGCAGTGCGAGAAGTCCCGGGCCGTCTAGCTCACTTCCCACCTCTGCAGACCCACACCCAGGGAGACCAGCAACCACAGCGCTGTTTGCTTGTCTCTGGCCCTTCCGTCTGGGAAGTTCTTCTCGTTGTCTGACCTTACTTCAACTTGCTGTCACACAGCCTCTTCAGCAGGGCTGGCTCCATGGTGTAGGGGTAGTATGCTGTTCAGGAGAAGCTGGTCCTGTGTAGCAGCTGCAGTTCAAATCCCCGTCCAGTCACCCTAAAACACGCTGGGTATGTGTGCAAGGCTGGGGGGCTGGGGAAGGGACTGTGGACGGTGCTCCTCCTCTCTCTGTCATACACATGAATTTTTTTTTTTTTTTTTGCTAGAGACTAGTTCTTTAAGCTGTAACGTATGATGAATCCCAAATGGCAGCACCTCATTGTTTATATAGCTTTTGTACTCAGATTTTTCAGAAGAAAAAAAAAAAAAGCTACTGTAAATTGTAAATAGTCAATGCACAACTGTATTATATGCGAATCTGTGACTGTTGGCAATGTCATCCGGAAGAACAGATAAAGTTTATGGACTATAGAAAAAATATATTTTTCTAAGGTCTTTTTGTCATAGGGCTCACGCGCTCACTGGAGAGAGACGAAGCGAGCAGTGAGAGGGGAAGTGAGAAGTCACCCCTCCAGGGGAGATGGCCAGACCGCTTCTCCATTCTCCTCCTAGGATTTGGGGCACACATGCACACACACTCAGCCTGATTTTCAAACTGCTGGGTCCAGGACTCAAACTGTGATTGGCCACGTGGGGGTCTAGCTCCTTAGCCACTTTGCCACCTGCTGACCTGAAAAAAACATTAAAAAAACCCTCTAATCGGAAAGATCCAGGAGCTGAGGCCTCTGAACTGAACTCGCATATCTCGTTGGTCCTGAAACTCCCTAAGTGATTTCTTGAAAAACTCCTGTTAGTTGGAGAGGTTTCTGCTATAGGGCACATTGCACTCGCCAGAAAGAGAGAGAAAGAGAGAGACAGAGAGACAGAAAGTGAGAAATCACCCCCCAGGCGGGACGGCCACACTGCAATCCCTTCTCCTCCATTCTCTTCTCAGGATCTTGGGCACGCACGCACACGCGCCTGGCGTGAGTTTAAGCCACCGGGTCCAGGCCTCGAACTGAGGTCAACTACATGGGAGTCTAGCGACATAGCCATTACGCCAATTGATGGTTCCTGATCCCAGATTCTTGAAACACTCTTAATGAAGGCACTTTCTCCGTCTCTGAGATGGGGTGGGTGGAGGTGGAGAGGGAGCTGAACTCCAGTGGCTTTGTCGTCTTGGGCTCGGTTCTGGTGCTCCAGTACCCAGGGGAGGTCACTTTACCTTCTGGCGAAATACACAAGCCCACAGGCAAGCTGGACACTGCAGTGTAAGGCTTGGCTCTCCTTTCCCTTCTGGGATAAGACCATAGGGTAGACACGGAAGGCCAGGGGAGTGCAGGGGGTGGCAAGGACGGAGCTCCCCTGCCAGCCAGTGGCCGTAAGTGACCCAGAGAGAGATCTCTGAGAGACTGCATCCAGAGACAGCAAGAGCTTGTTAAGGCCACACAGTAAACAGCGGCCGAGGCTGAAGTTAAGAGCCATGCCCAGGGGCTCTGCAGCTGCCTCTTTCTCCTCCTGTATCAGGCCCAGGTTCAGGACAAGCTCCGGCATGCCTTCCTGATGTTTATCAACTCATCTGATGCTCACATTCCCCCCCTTTTTTATTTTTTTATTTTACCGAAGGCTGTGTGTGCTCACCAAAGGCAGAGTGAGAAATCACCCCCCAAGGGTGACAGCCACACCACAGTACCCTGTCCTTCATTCTTCTCACAGTATTTTGGGCACACACACACACACACACACACACACAGTGGAATTTTTAAGCCTCTGGGTCCGGGACTCAAACCATAGTCACCCCCGTGGGAGTTCAGCGCTTTAACCACTGTACCACCTGCTGACCCCATATGCTCTATAATCTATTATTAGGTTATTATCTCTATATTCCTTCCTCCACCCCTGTGAACCTCATTTCTTATTCCCAAGGCCTCGTGTCCAGACTGCAGGATCCAGGGCCTACCCAGAGTCCAGGACTCTGGCTAGGTATTAGAAGGCATTCGTGGAAGTATCGGGGAGGCCCTCCTTCGTGGAGGAAAGTCACCCTGCTTGGTAGTGTGAACCGAGGGTTGCTGCCAGTCTGCCCCAGGTCCAGCGTCTTGTCACGCAGCCTACGAGTCCCCCCTTAGAGTTACTAGCAGGTCAGCCAGCAGAGTCACCACCGCTTTCCAGAGCGTACTCTGAGAATAGCCATACACCCTCGGGCCCGCTCCCTGTGGCCCATGGTGGTTAGTCAGAGGAGTCGGGGTCTTGGACTGTGGGATTCAGCCAAGGCTTAGGTTTCCAGGTCGGTGGTGGGGACAGGGAGGAGAGCGTAGTAGGGTGTTTGAGATGCATGTGTGAGGGTGGGATTGGGCAGTATGTGGGCTCTGGGGTGCCCCGTGAGATTGAGGGGCGGACACCATAGACAATCAGAACTTACTCGGACGCATGGCCTTACTGTGGGTCCCCCCAGAAGCAGACTCTGAGACCGGGAACCAAGTGCAGGTAGTGTACTTGGGAGGGAAGTCCAGGAAGCTCCGGTAGAAGATTGGGGAAGAGAGTCAGAGGGACAGAGCAAACCAGTAAAAGGTGCCTTATCAATCAGCTTGCGCGATGTCCCATCGGGGAACCTGGGAAATGGAAACACACCCTCCAGAGCTATCCTGCACGGAGCGAGGGTGCTGGGGCATGCGCACACCACTCCCCATCAGCAGTCGAGGCTGTTCCTGGGGGTGTCGCTGTCCCTGTGCTCTGAGTCCACTGCACACTCGGGCAGCGGGAGCCTGAGCTGGCTTCAGGCAGAGGGGTGCACACGCGTGGCAGCCGAGGGGCTGGGCTGGCGGTGCAGGGAGTCAGGGGAGCCGCAGGTGGGACACCCACAGGTGGGACACTGGTAGCCTGTGCTGCATCTCGCCCGGGCTGGCAGTGTCGCTGTCTTGGGGCCTGCCTGCTCTGTGGAGCTCTTTGTTCTTCGTCTTCACTCCGGGGCTGTGTGTACAGGCCTTGGTTCCAGACTGCAGACTCTCCCCTGTGGCTACCAGGCCCGTGAGCTGCTCATTCCACTCCTCAGATTTTGTGACAAGAACCCCAGCGTGTCGATTTCCTCGAGACCTTCCTGATGGAACTCAGGCTCTCCCTGAAGGGTTGAGGGGACCTCATCCCTGCAGAGGACAGGTTGGGGGTCACTAAGGACAAACCCAGAATGAATATGGGGCATTGCCTCGAGAGCCACAGTCATTGGCTCCCTGTCCCTCTGAAGTTAAAACCCAGGTAAAGGTAGGGACAGTTTCTGAGACTGGAAGACTGCTCCTCTCCGCAGGCAGGCCGAGGGGGCCTGGGGGTGGGAAAAAGGTCAACTGCGTTTTGTTCACTTTCCCCCCAGGAAGCGAGCCTTCCCCACAGGCCATGACCTGGGAGCCTGCACCCCTGAGTACGCCCGGGCCTCATGGGTCCAGCTCACAGCAGCATTTCCATCCTGTTGTGTACTGCTCTGTCTTCTTACTACCACCTGGGACTTGAGATTAACTAATAATTCAATATTCATTGAGCAACTGCTATGCACCGGGCTTTGTTCTAGGGACTGAGGGTACAGCAGAGTGCAAGACAACGATGATCCAGGATCACGGACTCTGTAGCGTGACAAAGCCAGGGGAGATCTCAGGGCAAATCTTATCATCTGTCAGGAGAGAAACCTGAGGTCCAGAGAAGGCAAGAGATGTCCCCAGGCTGCACAGCAAGTAGGGGACCCCGTGTGGAGTCATGGAAGGTCAGAGGTACTGGGTTCAGTTTTTAGAGGCAGAAACCAGTGGCCAGAGGTGAGGGATCTTGCCAAGCTAGTGGCATAGCTCTGCCTACCAGGAGAGCACTACGCCCTCTTTCCCACCATCTACCTCCTGAGCCAGCCCCGGGCTCCTGTGAACTGAGGGGTGAGTGTGGGATGTCAGCTGGCCAGTAGGCAGGAGGCCCAAGTGGCTCTCTCCCCATCAAGCCATCCGCCTCCTGCCTGAGTACTCAGGGACTGTGGAGCCCTCTCTTCCAGTCCTGCGTTTGCCTTGCTCCCCCATGCACTGTGCCCCTGGCATTGCCCACTGGCACAGAGCCCTCGGGCGATGCCAGGTGGAGCTCACTCCTGAGGGGTGCCCTGATGTGCCTCAAGCATACTCCTGTCTGGCTCATGCTCTCACTTCCTGGGGAGCTGAGGGAGCAGGGGCTGCATCTCCTCACTGGCTCCTGCCTCCGTTCTCTGGAGGGGTGTGTGTGTCTGCGCCTGAGTGCACCTGTGTGTGCAGACCACTGGCATGAGATACACTGCCTTCCCTGGGTACTCCAAAGGAGCTGAAATGCATTCGCAGTGTTCTGTCAACCCTGTCCACGCACACTCTGTTTGTGTTTTTGTGCATGTATAAACAATGTGGGCATGTGTGTGCTGGAGCATGATGATTTGCAATCAGAACATATGTGCGGGGCCAGCCGATGGAGTAATGGTTATGTTGCTGAACTTCCATGTAATTGACCACAGTTCAAGTCCTGGACCTGGCGGCTTAAAACTCACATCTGGCATGTGTGAGTGCCCAAGATCCTGAGAGGAGAATGGAGGAGAAGGGATTGAGGTGTGGCCATCCCTCCTGGGGGGTGATTTCTCACTTTCTGTCTCTCTGTCTCTCTCTGTCTTTCTGGCGAGCACACACGCCCTATAGCAAAAACCTCTCTCTTAAAAAAAAAGAAAAAGAAAAAAGCACATGAGTGTGCAGGGGGCCGTGTGTATGTGAGGGAGGGCTCTGCTGACCTCTCAGGGAGCCTCGGTCTCTCGGTCCACCTTATCCCACTGCCCCTCCAGGCAGCCTCTGCTTGTCCTTGCCTTGGTCCCCAGGCAGGGAGGCGGGCCCGGGCACCCAGCTCACTAGGTCGTTGGTCAGGGCTTATGTTCCGCCTGGGACTGGCTGCCCTCCACCCCTTCCCAGAGACCTCAAGTGGGGGCAGGGGCAGGGGCAGGCTGAGGCTGGCCTGGAGCTCCTGGCTAATTTTCCCGGCCTCTATCGATCCAGCAGCTTCTCCCGAGTCTATTAGCAGTCGGAGAGTGAAAATATCCCCCATCGCGAGCCCTGACCTGAGACAGGGAGGGATCCATAGCAATTTGTTCAAACAGAGGAAAGCATTTCCCTCTGATTTGTATTCCAAATTATTCCAGGCAGGAAGGGGGTCAGGGTGGGAGGGCAAACCCTGGCATGGCCAGAGCAGGGCCCAGGCCCGTCCCTCTCAGCCCTCTATGCCAGCCAGGGTGGCAGCTGGTGCTCTTCATGGTTCCTGGTGGGGGAGTGGGGAGGGAGGGTGGGCCCACAGCGGGGAGCGGGAAGGGAGGCCTGCCAGCCTTCCCAGCAGGCCCCGCTTGGCTGGAGAGCTCAGTTGTGGATTTGGTTTTCACAGAACACAAAGCCGCCCGCTCGGAGCCTCTCTCGCGGGCACTGGGGCCTGTGCCAGGCGTGCGCTCACCCGTGGTGTCTGTGCCAGGGTGGGGGCTGGGTTGGGCGCATGGAGACAGTGGCCCCAGCTGGGCTGAGTGGCAGGGGGGCCTATAGCAGGCCCCGCTTGGCTGGAGAGCTCAGTTGTGGATTTGGTTTTCACAGAACACAAAGCCGCCCGCTCGGAGCCTCTCTCGCGGGCACTGGGGCCTGTGCCAGGCGTGCGCTCACCCGTGGTGTCTGTGCCAGGGTGGGGGCTGGGTTGGGCGCATGGAGACAGTGGCCCCAGCTGGGCTGAGTGGCAGGGGGGCCTATGCTTCTCCCAAAGTCCTCGCTGGCCAGACGTGCAGGAACGGAGCTGCCGAGGCTCAGAGGGGAGCTGGCGCCCTTGAGCAGGCCTGTGCAGGGCGGGCACCCTCACCGCCTCTCTGACCCGGTCTCCTTCCTGGTCTGAGCATACCGGGCTCACAGGTGTCCTGACCAGGAAGTCTCTTCTGGCTCTGGCTGACATTTATGAAGCTCCTGCCTCCTGCAGGGCCCTGGGTTATTTGTGCCTGAAGTCTAGTCCTCGCAGGGTCCCATCTTCCTCCTGTGCCTCAGTTTACTCGTCGGTGCCCCTCGCACCATCCTGCATCCCTTTGTCACTTCCCTCGCCCACCTCTGTTGGCCCTCACTTCTTCTCCAGGTCGTTTTTACCTCTTGAGGGTCACCAGGATGGTCCTGCAGTTGGAGGGTCTCAGAGTCAGCGCCTCTGCAGCCCCCTGTTTCCAGTGGGACCCCCTGAAAGAGCTAGCTTCCTCTCTTCTGGTTGCTTCCTTTGGCCCCACCTTGCCCTCCCCTCCCTGCCAGGGCCCAGGCCTCTGCAGAGGTAGCACCATGGCAACCAGAGAGGAGGGTTCTGGGAAGGGTCAGCCGAGAGGTCCTGCACAGCCCCCACCCCCCACCACCACC